TGTTTTTTGTGATTTTTGGCACATGCAATCTCGAAGTATATACAAACATGTTTGACGGTTGGATCGTTGAAACTAGTTTAGTAGAATGTGTATCCCATCAAAACAATAAATTCACTAACACCTAAGAGTTTATTTGTACTTTCATTAAGTATAACATAAGATTTTGTGGTATCCACTAGTGTAAATATTTTAAATTGAAGATCGAGTTCATTCATTGTATTCATATAGGGTCTAGGAGTGTAGCTATAAAAAATCATCAAAATCGGAGTTAAAATCACTATTAAATCATGATTTTTTGTTGATAACTGTAAAAAAGTTTTGTCCTGTTACTTGATCTCTGAATGTTTGTTTTTTGTGATTTTTGGCGTATGCGATCTTGAAGCATATATAAACAAGTTTGACAGTTGGATCGTTGAAATTAGTTTCGTAGAATGTGTATCCCATCAAAACAATAGATTCACTAACAATTAGAGTTTATTTATACTTTCATTAAGTATAACATAAGATTTTGTGGTATCCACTAGTGTAAATATTTTAAATTGAAGATCGAATTTATTCATTGTATTCATATAAGGTCAAGGAGTATAGCTGTAAAAAATCATCAAAATCATAGTTAAAATAACTGTTAAATCGTGATTTTTTGTTTATAACCGTCAAAAAGTTTTGTCCCGTTACTTGATCTCTGAATGTTTTTTTTTTTGCGATTTTTGGTGTATGCGGTCTCGAAGCATATACAAACAAGTTTGACGGTTGCATTGTTGAAATTAGTTTCGTAGGATGCGTATCCCATCAAAACGATAGATTCACTAACACTTAGGGCCCGTTTGTTTGATAGGATTAAGGAGGACTGGACTGGACTGGACTATAATCCCTTGTTTGGTCTGCTGCAGGATTTGGTTTAATGAGATTAGGTGGGATTCGCTCGGATTAAACACCTCCTTACGAGGTCTTAACCAGGATCCCCGAAATTGGGCGGACTCGTAAGCCCAGAGAAAATCGCGAGGGTGACTTCCTGCTCGTCCTCCTTTCTCCGCTCTTTGTTTCACTCTCTCCTACTCTCTCCCTCTCTCCTTGCCCAGAACCCAGAATTATGAGACCTCATATCTGCTTTTCCCGTCACATCTCTAGTTTATCGTCGAGCTCGCTGTCAAAAGGCAGTGCTTCTCCTCTGTTCAGATCCTCGACTTCGTCAACTCCCAATATCGTTCTCGACCATCACCTTCATTCGCCGGGACATCGTCGTCAAACTCCACGATGCCAGCCAAAACCCAGAAGACAAAAAATACCAATCTGCCAAAACCCAAATGAAATTCAAAAGCTTGTGAAAAGTTTAGGAAAAAAAAACAAAACCCATATGACAAATCAGAAGCTTTTGTTGAGAATTAATGAAAAAAAAAATGGAATTTGAAGATGAGGGAGAAAGTGGTGAAAAAGAATGGTGATGAGGGAGAAAGTAAAAAGAGAGACACAAAGGCAGTTGGACGGGAAGGAGGAAAAAATGGAGAGCATTCTAGAGAGAAAGGGTGCTCTAGAAAGGTAAAAGAAAAAAGAAAAAGAAAAAAAATGTAAAAGATAGAATTAAATATTATTATTTTTATTATTTTAGTTCTTAATCCGATATTACACCAAACGCTTTACTAAGTTAGTCCAGCTTAGTCTAGTTTAAGCCAGTCCAGCTTAATCCCTAAATAATCCAGTCCGATTTAGTCCGGTGCAACAAACGCACCCTTAGAGTTTATTTATAATTTCATTAAGTATAACATAAAATTTTGCAGTATCCACTAGTGTAAATATTTTAAATTGAAGATCAAATTCATTAATTGTATTCATATAGGGTCAAGGAGTGTAGCAATAAAAAATCATCAAAATCGAAGTTAAAATAACCGTTAAATCATGATTTTTTGTTTATAATCGTCGAAACATTTTGTCCCGTTACTTGATCTATGAATGTTTGTTTTTTCCAATTTTTGGTGTTTGCGATCTCGATGCATATACAAATAAGTTTAATGGTTGGATTGTTGAAATTAGTTTCGTAGGGTGCGTATCCCATCAAAACGATAGATTTACAAACACTTAGAGTTTATTTATACTTTCATTAAGTATAACATAAGATTTTGTCGTATCTACTAGTGTAAATATTTTAAATTAAAGATCAAATTCATTCATTATATTCATATAGGACAAGCAGTGTAGCTATAAAAAATAATCAAAATCGGAGTTAAAGTATATTAATTATTTTATGTATTTTAAGTATTAATTAGACTATGTTTCAATTATAATGTGATGATATTTTATAATAAAATTATATTTCTATTTTTTATTACGTATTTTATTTATTAAAATCTTAAAATGTTATATGAGATAACAAAAAAAATAAAAAAAAAGAGCTAGTTATGTTTTGTCTTTGGGTTAAACATTTTGTTTTTTTAAATTGGTATGCTGTCGCTTTTAACCGACGACATTGGTCAGATAATTTGAAATGTTAGGCAGGAAATCTCTCCTTTGTTCTGCATGAGGAAATGGATGGAGAGACTTAGTGTTCGTTTTAACCGATGCTATCATTTTTTAATTTGACACGAGTTTCATTAAACCGACGCTACGTGAATTCAAAAGTGTGTCAAAAGTTGGTGTCGGTTTTAACCGACGCTATCATCTTTTAATTCGACGCGAGTTTCATTAACCCGACGCTACGTGAATTTCAAAAAGTGTGTCAGAAGTTGGTGTCGGTTTTAACTGACGCTATCATCTTTTAATTCGATGCGAGTTTCATTAAACCGATGCTACGTGAATTTCAAAAAGTGTGTCAAAGTTTGGTGTCGGTTAAGACCGACACCAACATTAATTTAAACTGACACTGTGATTTCCAATAAAGAGTGTCAGAAAGTTCACTGGTTCATTTCAAGAGGCTTCACCTCAAGCTCAGAGGCTAACCTCCCTAATTTATCTCTCCCTTCTTCCAAGCACACCCTAAAACCGCAGCTTATCTCTCCACATTTTCTCAAATCCTAACCTCTGTTTCCACAAACCAAACCTTAATCTTCCATCATCAACCCATAAGATCTCACATCCATGGATTTACTGCATCACCAGAAGGGTAGCAGCACCGATCTTGGTGCTGACGCACTCAGAGGTATACTTCTCACCCTCCCTTGCCGATTCATGCACTTAAGTTCATCGATTAAAATATACCATACAAGAAAAAAATCTTCAACCCCTCATGCTTGTGTTGTTTCTTTTGCAGGGACCTGAGATTTGTATAAAAAAATAAGAATAAAAATAAAAACACGATGCAACCACTGGTACAGCCCCAAATCGCATCTTAAGGAAAAACCACCACATAGTTGTCTCCGTTCTAGATCTGTCATTTAAAGGTATAATCTCCACTGAGCTCCTCTTTTATGTTCTTGTTCAGTAAGATCAACAATTCGAAAATCCATATAAAAATTCATGTATGTTCATTTTGGATCTGAAGAGTAAGGACACTGGAAAACATGGAGCTACAGAATCTGTGGTCTTCGACAAGGGCAAGCATGGGAAAGCATCATGGCAACTGCTAGTATTAAATGCAAGCATGGAGCTCTGATTAGTATTATATGTAATTGTTAGTTTTTTTATCTTCATCTTGTAACTGGTTCTCTAATAGCTCCTATATATATGTTATTTGTATATTATGTGGAATGTTAGATGTAAAATATTTGTATATTTTGGCATTATTTTTATTGTTAATTATTTTTATTAATGTTTGTTTTGGTCTATACTTGAAATTTATTATTTTGGTTATATAATGGTTTTTTTTTTTTTTTTGGGTGGGGTGGGGGGGGGGGTTGGGGGGGAGGAGGTTATATAATGTTTTTTAGTTACAATTAATTGAAAACAAATGCAGAGACATATTTTCACTTTTTTTTTTTATTATTAACAAAGGTGGTGTCAGTTAAGACCGTTACCAGTTTGTATATTTTATTTATTTAATTGTTATTTAACATCGGTTAAGGGATATTTTATTTGTTTAATTTTATCATGATGTCGGTTAAAACTGACAGTAGGTTGGATATTTTATAGTTAAATTGCTAGTGCACGTCGCTTTAAACCGACGTAATGTTGAAGTATACATCGCTTTAATCCGACGTCAACATTAGTGTCGCTTTTAACCGACGCTGAGTAGTGGCGGATTAAGAGAACAAACCGACACTGAAGCCCTTTCGTGATGTTGGCATTGATGTCGCTATTCCAATCCGACATTACATTGTTTTATGTCGGATTTGTGCCAAATTTCTGACATAAATTGGACTTCTTGTTGATTTTTGGTTCGCCGGTGATAGCCTATATTGTAGTAGTGAAGGAAGAAGACTTGAAAGAGGGAAGAAAGAGAGCGTGGGACGTTGTGTAGGGAAGGGGTAGAGGAGATGAGAGCGGAGGAAATGAGGGAAGGACAATGGAGAAGGGAGGCAGGGAGGAGGAAAAAAGAGAGGCAGTAATGGAGTTGATGTTGACCCCGAGTAAGAAAATGGAGTGACGGCTAAAACCCATGTCTAGGGTTGAGTTTGTGCAGCAACACAGAGAGAATTTAGAGAATCTTTCAGACAAATTTTAAATTTTATCTAAAACATAATTTTTCGTTTCAGGCAATAATTTGAATTTATAGATAGGATTGTACAAACACCATATGAACGAATAGCTAAAAAATCCCCGATTTGATATATATATTTTTTTTTTTAAAGTAAACATACGATTTGATCATCATTATACTGTTATGAAATAGCTTTCCAAATATAACCACAATTTTATCATACTCTCATTTACTTTACAAAAAGAAAGTCATAGATCATAACTAATAAAATATGGAGTAGAGTTGTGAATACGATCCAACAAGGATAGGCTTATCCAGCTTCCACTCCAGGTGGCAGCCTTAAGTGAAGTTCATATCCTCTAAACAAAACCCATCTCGCCACGTGTCAAGCTAAGATCCATGCAAAAGATCAAAAACCCAATCACGCTGAGTTCCCCACGCCCCTTAATGCAACCGAAAAACAGAAGAAGAGAAAAAGAAAGGTAAGTCCAGATACTGAAAGAGTAGCAGTAGACCAGTGTATTGTAAGGCCATGGCATCTCTGGCAACCCTAGCAGCCGTTCAACCGGCCACCATTAACGGCCTCGGGGGAAGCTCCCTCACCGGAACAAAGCTCGTTGTGAAGCCCACTCGCCAGAGCATCAGAACAAAAAACATCAGGTACTGCAACATAAATATTTAAAAATAGCAAATGCTTGTTGTTTCTTGTTCTTTATGAATTGTGAGGGGTGTGTTGAGTAATATTACTGGTGTGGTCTCCGGTGGTTTAGGAGTGGTGCTGTGGTGGCCAAGTACGGAGACAAGAGCGTCTACTTTGACCTTGAGGATCTGGGCAACACCACCGGGAAGTGGGACTTGTACGGTTCAGATGCCCCCTCACCTTACAACCCTCTTCAGGTTCTGAGACTAAATTAGAATTTCTTTCATGTGTTTATCAATTAAAAAAAATGCAAAAAAAGACACACAAAATGCTTTCATTGAGAGTTGAACTCAAGACCTCCCGCTTACTAAACGGGTGCTCTAACCAACTGAGCTATGAAAGCCTTTGCTGGAAAATCTCAGATATTACATTACTTATGACACTCTAGAAAAATGTTGTTCCAAAAGTTCCCTCCATAGTTAATAAATTAATCATTAATTAATATCTAGTTTTCTCATCTGATTTAATCTTGCTAATGATGGCTTTGGAATAATAATCTCGCATTAGCTTTTCAGGGAGAAATTTGTATCGATGTTTCTTGAACTTAAGATCTTTTTTTGGTTTATAATCAGTTATGGAACCACCTTCTAATATTTAGAATGTGCTAGTTTGCCTTCACCGTCAAATTTTCACATTTAATGTTCATTTACTCTACTTGAACAGAAGAAAATAACCCTCAATTTAACAAATGTGATGATAACGGACAAATTGAGACTTTTTAAACGATTAGGTGTTTGATACCGAATTAAAAATTCAAGAGCCAAGTCTAGAGACACTCAGTTCATGAGGCATTGCTAAAACTTTTCCTACATTCTATACTGATTGAGGGAAATTTGACTTGTTGAACTTTATCCAAGCATTGTTTGAGTTAATTAAGTTGTTGAATCTGAGTGCAGAGCAAGTTCTTTGAGACATTTGCCGCTCCATTCACCAAGAGAGGCTTACTCCTCAAGTTCTTGATATTGGGAGGAGCTTCCACCATTGCCTACCTTAGTGCCACTGCTTCCGACGACGTTCTGCCAATCAAGAAGGGCCCACAACTTCCACCCAAGTTGGGCCCACGTGGCAAGATCTAAATTTTATTTGGGATTTAATCCTCATTTTCTCAAGCTTTTCATCATGTGTGTAATTGTTTCTCTATTTTGTACTTGTAAAGCACGTGTAATGCAGAATTAAAACCCCTAAGTTTGGCAATACGTCAAAGGTATTTTTTCTGGTGCAATTTGGGAACTGCCATTCATGTTTTAATATGTTACTGTTCGTCCGTAAGATTTCAACTTAGAACCTCTTTCAACAAAGTGGATACGGATGGACGTTTGTCCTCGTGCTTTTGGTTAAGTTTGAAATCTTCATATCATGACGAAAATCGGCGAAAAAATATTGCAGACAGTAGGAAGAATCTGGAGTACAAATAGTGGGGGAACAAAATTAAGATACGTCTAAGAGAAGTCATCAAAATTATATTTTTCAGTCGGTCTACAAACCCTCTTTTGTTTTCCTCCTCCTTCTTCCCTATGTACACGAAAGGAAGGAATAGAATGAACATCACACAACTCCAAGGATGCCAATGAGTGCTGTGAAATTTACGTTTGAAGTCTTAGGCTTTCTTGCTCCTTTACATTTCTGTATCCGTCTCGTTTAGTTCCTCATTTTTTCGCTCCTTCTTCTCCGATTTTCCCCTGTTGACACTGTTAGTGGCGTGCCGTTGGACTTCTCAATCCACCTAAGTTCTCTAGGTAGGAAATCTTCTTGTTGGTCACTATGTTTGCAATCTTCTGCATATGTGGATGCTTAACCGCACAATTGTCCTCATCCGCAGCATCCGGGTCCTTTTTTGGCTCGGTCCCAGATTGATCTGCGCCCCAACCCATGAAATCCGACAGTGTCATTGAACAGGGTGTCTCCCCACCGGCATTTTCTTCTTTAGAAGACCTATCCGGAGAAGTTGCAATTGTATTGTCTTCTAAATAGGGCCGTTTACAGGCTACATGTGATGGATTCTGAGTAACAAAATCAGCATAAAGCACATCTTCGATCCGCGACAAAACTGTGAAGGCCAAGCTTTCTAGTATTCTTGAATAGCTTTCCAGAATAGCCTGTCCAACATCCTGTAAAACCAAAGAACAAGCATGTGCATAAGTTCATAAACACGATCAAATACTTTATAAGTGATTTACTTTTTTCTGCAGTATTTTTTGTGTGAAAATGTGCACTAGTACTCAAAATCTAGGGATAAATTATGTTCTTACCGCATTGTATTCGATTTTACTAACATCGAGTGACGATTGAGGGATTCCAGGGAACCTCTGCTTGAGGAGGAGTAAGATTGTCTCTGCTCTCTCTTCAAAAAGTTCTCTTTTCTCCAAGCTCACTGCAGAGCCCCAACCCGATTTCCCATCTTTTTGGTTCATCTTTCGCTTCCATATCACCATGGAAGCCTCCATTTTGTTCTTAAGGTCTAGAATTTTGTGCTCTGATGATAAGTCCATGCTGCAAAGAAATTGGTCAGGATCAAAGAATTCAACTGTAATGCTTCGGTAGATTGTGTCACCAAGACTTGCCCTCCCATTCTGCAAAAATCGACAAACCAAACCCAATATCAGAACGCGGTTATAGAACTCATCAAGCCTCATGTAATGTAAGGCTTTCTTTACCTTGGGGAGGGATTCAATGTAGTTTTCGGGGATCTCCATTTCTGTTAAAACTTGAGCATTGATGGCCATAGCTGCTTTAAGCACTTGGTTGACGCAATCCTTTTGATATTGTATGAACTTTCGTGCCGCGTCTGATAAACCATTTGGTGGAACTTTAGGAGTAGGTAGCCACCATTTGTCATCTTTTCTCTTTGCAGATCCTTTCTCGTTCTCATCAGCATCTTTGGATACATAATAGAACTCTTGCTTTTCTTGGAAGTTATCTAGACAATCCTGCATAATCCGTTAGAAGTTTTGTTACAGAAAAATAATCCATTAATCCGAGTTTTCTTAAAAAAAAATGTTAAAAAGACTTACGATAAGCATTGCATCGAGCTTACGCAAGGCAGGGATGTTCATGTGAAGATCTGTTCGTTGCTGAGTCACCATTATCTGTTAGATCAAAACACACAAATTCTTAACAGAATGTGAAATGCGAATGCAAACGCGTATGTGACAAGGAACAAAAGAGGAGATTGTACCTCCATGTTAGTTCCATCCTTGCCCTTCTGTTGCGAAGCAACAAATTCAACTATGTAATCACTGACACACAAGAACCAATCTATTTCTTTTCTCCACCTCTTTTTCCTCTCGGTGGACATGGGTTCTAGGCGAGTTTGTTCCCCAAAAACAGAAGCTGCATTGCATTCGGAAAGCAATGGTGAGTGAAATGCAATCCAGAAATTAAAAAAAAAAAAAAAGGCTAGCCTTTGCACTAATACAAACCATGTTGATTGTATACATACCGGCAAGATTTGTAATGGCATTCGACAATGCCAACGCTGACGAAACACCCTTACCTCCACCGGACATATCTTCACCCAGAAGCAATTTCGCGAACCTCTCCTTCATCTGTTCCATATCTGAATCAAACCCAACAAGCGATAAATAATTCATAACTCACAAAAAAAAAATGTATATATTACAGAATTTAAGCACATTACGAGTTATATATGGCAGACAAATCATCACCTGTTTGCTGTTGCTTTTCCCTCGCTTCTCTAGCAGCAGCTTCCTCTTTGCTCAACTGCGATTTAGAGCCTTGAGCTCCATTACTACTTCTCGATGAAGCCTTCTTATCATCGTCCTGAAACTCTAACACGGTAGCACTCTCGATGCTCAAGCTCTTTGTATGCCTTCCGGCATTCTCATGCATTCCTTTGAAATGATACAATCTAGACTTGTAATCCTCTTCTTCTTCTTCGAGCGCCCGAACCATTCTCAGCTTTTTGAGGAAGACTTTTATAGAATGAACAACGGAGAACAAGGCATGACTGCTGTTCAACCTATTGGGAGAAGGGAGAGGAGGGCGAGAGGGATCTATTTTGTCGGTTACGCGATTTCTTGCGGGAGAGGGAAGAGAGCTTCCAAATCCAAATGACTTAAGAAACAAGACTTGTTCTTGTTGTTTTTTTGTTGCTGTTCTTGTTGTTTCTTCTTCTTCTTCCTTTTTCTGAGGAAATGGTAAGTTTTGACAAAAATGTGGAGGGGAATGATTGGGAAGATTTGATGGGTTAGTTAATTTTGTTTTCTTTTTTTGATATTTTTCGGTTGGGTTGGAGGAACGTGGGGTGCATGTTTTGAGAAATTAGCATGCAAACACAAATGTTTTTTGATAATTTTTTTTCCTTGTGGTTTTTGTTTTGTTAATGTTGTTGTTTTGGGGAGGTTTTGGTTTTTGGCTTTTTTGAGGAATGAATGAACTGGATGGTTGAGGTTTTGATGGTCGAGGTCACAGAGCAGCTAAAATCCCGGGAAAGACAGAGGTGCTTTTCTAATTTACCACCTCTCTCTCCAAATGAGATTGGACCTTAAGAATAATATTGTACTCATGTATAAGGATATGTTAAATAACCCGTCTATTGAGGATTTATAACCCATCATGTTAAGTCATGTTCATCTCATATTTTGACATAATAAACAACGAATTGGACTTAAGTCTTTTAATTGATCACAATCTATCCCAACCAACGCACCAAAACAGGCAGCAGCTCCAGCTCCTCCCTAGAACATTCAATTTCATTATATGTAAATGTGAGAGAGAGAGTGTGTGTGTAGTTCCAACAACTTCTCTACTCCAACTTCTTTATAAGAACTTCATTATCAGTTTTTATGCTAATCACGACGATTGTCTAACAGTATTTCTCTCTACTTTATAACTTACAAAAAGTATTGTTTGTTCGTGAATCGTGATTAGTATTTGACGGTGTTGTTTGCTCACGATGCAACACACTCAGACCTTCGGGCATTACAATAGAAGTGGATTGCAAATTTTGATTCCCATCAAAATTGATCAACAATTTCCTAATTTTTCACACAGAGTCCAAAAATATCGAACAAAATTCATATAAAAATAAAAAGGAATGATGTAATTTGATTTTCGTTGAAACAGTGGAAAAATTCCAATTCCGAACTTCTCCTTCCGCGCGCACCTGTTTATTTGTGCATGCATGTTGATTTTCCTTGAAATTATTTAACATGAACACCAAAAATAAACAGTGGTGTGCAGAAATTACTTCGGATTCATAACAAGTCTTGAGCCACTTAATCATGCTTAACATACCATTCAATACTTAATCAAACTTAATATCCAATTACCTACACAAAAACGTGTAATTATCTCAATGGAGCACAAATAATAAAATGGAAGTCAAGAACAACATAGAAGCACAAATAATAATCCAACATAGAAGGGAAACAGTCATTTACATGGAAAGAGGCATATTAAACACCAAAAGCACCCTTTAACGACATACAGTAATACAGATAAAGGGTCTCAAACCCATACTCACCACTAGCAATTTGCTTAGTTCAACTGACAGCTCCAGATTCTGATCCCAGCGAAAGAAAGCTAGCAATTACGTGAACACCATAACCCTAGTAGTCGAATGGCCATCCTGAATAATCCATCTCGTTATTATGTTCCCGCATAGTTGATGGGCTACTTTCAGTTGTTGGGTTATGACTAGTGCTTGAACTAGAGCTGGAACTAGATGAGCGAAACGGCCACAGAGATGAGAAACGGTTTCGCCTCCCTTGGTTTTCTCTACCACTCTCCCTTGCACTGGTATTACTACCAAAACTACTGCTTCTACTTCGACTATTTGAGCTACGACTGCTTCCCGCTCCTTGCGGACCTTGTGGAGGCAGTTCTTGGCGGCAAACAGGGCATGAATTGTGTTGGACTAGCCATGGTACGATACAATCAGTGTGGTACAGATGGTCACAAGGCATTTGCTTTGCTTCAGATCCCAGCTCGAATTTGTCCTTGCAAACAGGACAGTGCGCATCAGAACGGAGATGCCTATTTGTGATCTTAACAGTAGGCATTGCATCAATTGAACCTCTGGAGGCTGGGGCAGGGCCTCGCCGGTCATTAGCTGAAAGCTGCTCAAATAGTTCTTCTAAGCCAGGACCTACAAAATAATCCCCAACATTACCCCGTGTCACACCAATTCCAGGCGACCCATTGAAAAGAGCTTCAAAAGCACCATTTCCAGACAGTCGAAAAGGAATTTGGCCACCAAAAATCAATAGAGGGGCAAACGCCGGGTTACGCTCTGGAACTAAATCTGGTCTTCCCCTAATGCTATCATTAGGCCTTCTGTCTGTCAATTGGTGCAACGCTGAGAAAGCTTCCATGATCCCAAACCTCCTGTCAGGATCATCATCATTGTCCAGTCCAAAGAAATCCATTGGGCTGATATGAACCATATCATCAAGTTCTTGAACAAATCCTCCATCGCAGCCTGGGCAAACTGCATCTCGCCCTCTCAGCTGAACTGGCTGCCTGCAATTGTAACACCAGTGGGTGTTTCGGCCACTTGACATCCTCTCCTCTTCCAAAAACTTATGAGTACATACAACAAGTCTCGCCCCCGAATGCCTCAATATTTAATCATCTGAGCACAGTGACACACGGAGATGGCAAATTAAGGTCAAGCCACCTATTTCAAATTCAAAGTCATTAAGATACAGTCTGGACACAAACAAGTTTGAATTTGACAGTTCGCATAAAGGAATTGAAACTGCTATCCACACTACATACACAGGAATAAAAAAATAAAAATCAGATTGCAAAGATATTTATTAGAATCTTTATGTAAAGTGCTTTCGTAAATCCAATGTATTTCTGAAACCAATAAATAAAATCCAATTTATTTCCTAAACAATTACAATTACCCAATTCAGATACTCCAAAATCCCAATTCGATTCGAATTGCATCCATCTATTTCAGGTTGATCATTGGTTGAGTAATTCAATGATTAAAATACCAAAAAGATAAACAAATTAATAACCAAGATCAGAAACAATCAGGTCAACAAATAGTCTCACTCAGATAATAATCCTTTTGTAAAACAAAATAAATATATTTGGATAATCGATTTTTTCAAACCAATTTATTCCCTAAATGCTCCAATCACCCAATTCAAATACTCCAAAAACGAATTCGAGTCGAATCCAATCCATCCATTTCAGGATGATCATTGGTTGAATCTAAACAATCAGTAATTCCATATTAAAAATACCAAAATAGTTAACAAAATTATATCCAGGATCAGGCCTTAATCAGCTAAAAAATCAATAATTTAAAATTAAAAAAATATATAACTAGCCTCATTTGCAGCAGGAAATTCAGCACTTGAACAACAAAAACAACACTGCGACTTCAGATTCATAAAAATCAATAAATATACATGTGTATAATTATATAGTGTAAAGGCAAACCCTAACCTTAAGAAGGCGAAGATATACCGAAATTTCTGAGATTGTATCCACATCGATGGTGCGACAAAATAAATGAGTGAGAGACCCCGCTCTGTTATCTCTCTCCCTCTGTCGTTGTCTAGTATCTTCCTTTAGATAGGCCTTTGTTTTTTTGATCCTACGGCTGGAAATGAGCGCCTGTATTCACTCAACTTTATTAGAGCTTTTTGTCCTTTTCTCACCTTATGTCAAATTACTCTTATAAAACTGACAAAGCCATATGTTGAGTTACCCATTTTATCGTAACTTGGTATTACGGTCTAGTGATTTTATTTTTTTTTTACTTATAATAAAAGGTCTTAGGATGGATTATCGTCAAGGTGAATTTGAACCACAATATTTCTAAGCTATTGTGAGACTAAACTTATTTTCTCTTTCTTAACCTAGATAATATCGATTGTTAAAAACAAATAAATAAACAATGGTTGAGGAAGCTTTTACTTTTAAAGACGAAGAAATTTGATTGAGATATAGTGTCAAATTGGAAGGGGGAATAGGTTTAAAGCAGTTTATATTACTAAATGTTATACTAAATTATGATAACAAAGAATAAAATTTCCAAATATGAAACGTAGATAAAGACGATTTGGTTCGATAATACAACTATATGAATCGAAGTAGTTGTAACTTGTTTCTAGTTGGTCTAAATTCACACTTCAAGTGTAAAACTTGAACTAAATTGCTTGCATATATTTACAAGAAAAAAAACACTGCTCAAATAGTGCTTGGTTTAGCTGGATTGAATGGTTGAGCTCATTTTACCCGCAGGCATATATCTTGCAGGATGATTTTGATAATCCTTTCAACTCTCAAATGAATCTTAATTTTAAGCGTATTCCAAACTAAGTACGAGAATCGGAAGCATTATATACTCCTCACATGAAGTACAAATTGTTGAATAGAGTTGCCTTTGTATAACACGTCTCATATAGGGGTGTGTTGTGAGATAACTTTTTCTTTTAAAAAATATTATTATTATTAAAGAAAATGAGAGAATTTTATATAATTTAAAGGAGAAAAGAGTTTCAAACTCGAAACGTATAGATAGAATGTGACATCCCACATCGCCCAGGGGAGTGATCCTTAAATATATATTCTCATCCCTACCTAGCACGAGGCCTTTTGGGAGCTCACTGGCTTCGGGTTCCGTAGGAACTCCGAAGTTAAGCGAGAAGGGGGCTTGAGCAATCCCATGATGGGTGACCCACTGGGAAGTTGCTCGTGAGTTCCTAAAAACAAAACCGCGAGGGAATGGTAAACCCAAAGCGGACAATATCGTGCTACGATGGTGGAGTCAGGCAGGGGAAGTGGTCCGCCCCAGACCGGGATGTGACATAGAAACCCAATATCTAATTTGCTAAAATATCAAACCATATGATTTGTGAGATAACTCTCCTACTAAAGAATCTCTCTTAAAATTAGTTGAAATAGTGAATTCCACGGCTTGGATCAATAGCACTATGTGCATACAATTGCATTTAGCAACAAAGAAATATTCTAAAAACTTTATGCTAGATGGAGGAAAGTAAAAGTCTCAAAAAATGGTGGGTGCGATAAATGTAATTTAAATTTTATTATGTTGCACTTCGTAATTTGACTTTTATCATGTCTCATTTTGCAATTTACCTCCATCCAACCAAACATCACCATCTTACTTGTCCTCCTGCTGACCACCAGAGAGTCAGAGACGCGCCACCCACCGGCCACTGCCACTCAGACTAGTCACTATATAACCAACCTCTCCAACCGTTTTGATATCTGGGGTACCCACAAAACCTACAACCAATCAAACCCCATTTCTCAAAATCCATCAATGGAGTCCATTGGCCTGCTGATGCCAGCCCCAATATCCCCGTACTTAGAGCAAGAACTCGAGAGGCGCTTTAACCTCCTCAAGCTCTGGACCGCCCCTGAAAAATCAGAGTTCCTGAAAGACTTTTCCAGCGCCATCCGAGCCGTCATCGGCAATGCAGGGGAACGGAGACGACACAGGGCTCGTCGGGTCGCTGCTGAAGCCGGAGATCGTCGCCAGCTTCAGCGTCGAAATCGTTAAGGTCGATTTAAAGATGTGCAAGGAAAAGGGTATTCGAGGCACCAACACGCCTGACGTTTTGACCGGCGATGTGGCGGACCTTGCGACACAGGGCTTGTCAGCTCACAACCATTAGATAACCATCCACACGCAAGCTGCAAACCTTAGAAACGCCTAAATGTATCAACCCACATCTCTATGTAACATAATACACATACATGTGTTTTGGCGCTTATACTTTATCTCCTTTTCGATTATGTGCTTGTCTTTTATTTACAACTACGACTTTCTTTTTCTTTTAAGAAAAAAAATATTTTAACGTAATCTGAAACCAACTTGGCTACATTTAGAGTTTACTTTAAACAGTAGTGTCATTTTAAGTTTGAGAGTTTGGAATGTATTGGATTTAGGATTTAGTATTTAGAGTGCATGTTGAAGTTGAACAAGTAACTAAATGAAAGCTCAAAGTGACACAAGTAAATAAAAATACTATTAGATCATAAAACTAAGGAACAATTTCTTTTATTTTTTATCCCTATTTGCCGTTTTGTCATTTGAGTAACCAACCGTCGTGGTTTCGCCTGACCTTCGTTTCTCTTCCACTGGTAGTCGTCCCTTGTTCACCACAGAAATAACAAGCCACACATCACTACCAGTCATTCTGTCACCTTCACAAATCCCAAGCTCTCCAATCCCTTCGAGACGACACAAACCCCGGAACCAAACAAACCTAATTTCTCCGAATCCCATAACAATGGAGTCCATCGCCGTCCTCATGCCGATTCCAATGTCCTCCTATTTGGAGCAGGAGCTCGAGAAGCGCTTCAACCTCCTCAAACTCTGGACCGTCCCCAATAAAACCCAGTTCATCAAGGACCACTCCGCGTCCATCCGTGCCATCGTCGGCAACGCCACCGCCGGAGCCGACGCCGAGCTCATCGCCGCTTTGCCTAAGCTGGAGATTGTTTCCAGTTCCAGCGTTGGGATGGATAAGGTCGATTTGAAGACGTGTAAGGAAAAGGGTATTCGGGTCACCAACACCCCCGACGTTTTGACCGACGACGTGGCGGACCTTGCTATTGGGCTGACGCTGGCGGTGCTGAGACGGCTGTGTGAGAGTGATCGGTATGTGAGGAGTGGGCAGTGGAAGGAGGGCGAGTACAAGTTGACCACCAAGGTTCGGTTTTTTTTGCTTAATTTGCATTGGATATTATTATTTTCACTTACTTGCTATTGGGTTTTGTTTGAATTTCTTATTTATATTGGTATGAATGGATCTTGATTATGCTGCTTGTGATTTGAGTGTGAGTTGATGGGTAATTTTTGAAGTGCGTTTATGGTAAAATTTTCTTAAGTGTTGCTGTGTTGTTATTTACCATGCTGGAGGAAAATAATGAGCAAAATGATACTTACATTGAATGGTTGAATTGGTGATTCATGATAAAGGTTGTTGTTAAAGGCCTGGCTGGATCGATGTTCTTTGTTCAATTTCGTCTACAAGGGCATGGACTAGTTCTTAAGAAATTTTGGAGTCGGTCAAAGTACATTTCTCAATGATAAGTGTCTTCAATCGTGGTTGAGTTCATCGAAAGCAACTCTGTTGCTGTGCTGTATTTATGATAGCATCAATCCAGAAAATCGAAAGGGGGTGAGATGGTAGTCGGTGTTGATTGTTTGTTCCTATTGTTTGATTAAATAGGTTCTTCTGAAAATGCACTGAGGCATCCTTTCTGGTGTTTTTAATTGTTTGTTTCTTAATATTGTCTGTACTGCTGGCAGATGCGCCTGAATTTCGAATTTATCAATACTTTGCCAGAAAATTGGTTTACGAAGAACTAGTGTGTTCATTCTGCATTGTATGGGTATCTAATAAAAGAGAATGCATAATATTTTCACCGGTTGCAAAATTCTTTAACCAACATAAGATACTTTTCAAGGAGTTTAGGCACCTTACAGTAGCTGCTTATGTGCTATGTATGAAACGAAGATTCACAAGTCAACATGTGTGTTATAGGGCAGTTTGAGTGTAATAATTTTGCGACATGTTCGTGTGATACATTGATATTTTTCGTTTCTTTACCTCCTTTGATTATTTGATATTAGAACTTTTAAAAGTTGATGAAGTTTGTATGAAATGTGAGGTTCCTGAATTCATAGGAGAACTAGCTTTTTTTCTCTTTTTCTTTCCCTGTTTTTCATCCTGAAATAGAGTTAAATGTGTAGTCGTTTACTACACGCAAGGTAAATGTCTGTCTAAAACCTTTATTTATTGATTTAATTTCATCCATATAGCACCTCTTTTTCTCCTCTTTTGTACTAGTTTCCCTTTCATTTTCAGTTCACTGGGAAAACTGTTGGAATCATTGGTCTCGGAAGAATTGGCAAAGCAGTTGCAAAGAGAGCCGAGGCTTTTAGCTGCCCAATTGCTTACTTTTCCAGGACAGAAAAGCCAGATTTGAAGTTCAAATACTACCCAAGTGTTGTGGAGTTGGCCGCCAACTGTGATGTTCTAGTTGTTGCGTGCCCCTTAACTGAAGAGACCCGCCACATTATCAATCGTCAAGTCATTAATGCTTTGGGGCCAAAGGGTGTTCTCATCAACATTGGGAGAGGCTCTCATGTTGACGAACCTGAGCTGGTATCTGCTCTGGTAGAAGGGCGGTTAGGTGGGGCAGGGCTCGACGTTTATGAGAAGGAACCAGAAGTACCTGAAGAGCTGTTTGCGCTCGAGAATGTGGTCCTCTTGCCTCATGTCGGAAGTGGCACGGTAGAAACTCGCAGTGCCATGGCAGACCTTGTGATTGGGAATCTTGAAGCTCACTTCTTGAAGAAACCACTGTTGACACCAGTGGTCTAATAGCTTTTAGCATCTGGACATGACCACCATTGGATGTATAGCTTGATGATCTACTGCCACAAATGCCTACAATAATTGTTTCTGTCAATCTGAAAAAGGATCGTTGATTCTAGAATTGAGGAAATGAGACTCCTTTTTGAAACAGTTGATTGATGATATTCCTCGTTAGTTGTTGAAGTGGAAATCACTACATTTTTATTGGAAATCCTCGGCTTCTTGTTATTTTTAATTTCATTTTTATGCCGAATGTACTCGTAAAATTCTTCAGTTTTAAGTTTTTAAGGGATCTTATAATTTTACTATAACGACATATTTGTTCCCTTTTCGGCCGGTTGTGGGCGAGGAGGGATTCAAATCCCCGACATCGTGATTCGTAGCCACATGCTGTATTCCTCTGAGGTACCGGCCCCACCCCGTCTCCATGGATGAGAAATTTTGGTTAAACTATACAAAGGACAATCAAAACTTATATGGTTTTGAACTCATTACCAATGAAGTCAAACCTTTGACAACACACTTGTAAGCACAAGAATACCATTATACTGTAGTTTATGAAATCACATGAGTTACTTGTGTCTTTCATTCACAAGAGTTACATGTGTCTTTCATTTTATTAGTCTATGTAAGTGGTCAGTAATATTTAGGTACTGAGTGGTGAGTGCTCAAGTATTATCCATAAATAATGAGTTTTCATCACAACTAGTTCTCGGGTTACAAAACTCATAAATTTTGGGTCGATCAATGTCATCCTTCATATAATGCTTCAGAAAGCTAGAAACCTTAACCAAAGATGATCTATATACCAACTCCTTGGGCCTATCGTTTTCCTCAGTATTCTAGTTATAAATCACTCGGTATTCAGTATCAGATCCTATCTCGAACTCGAAACTATACCATTCAGTATATATTTCTATAATTCATCTTTAGCGGCATTATCCTTGGCCTTCAAATGTTTGTTGATAGTTGTAGCCACGTCCTTCAAGCTCGATTTTGTAGAAAGTTTGATCTGCACAGTGAACAATTTCTTGCGTAAGATGGTTACAGCGCACAGATGAATCATAACAGAAGAAGATTTGTTGTAATGACTAATTACCGGATTGCCTTTATCGTTGGCTGTGTACAGCAAGAGTGTTGGATAGTCGCTTACCTGCAGTAACAAGTAACCAAACAAATAAATAAATGAATAACAAACAATAATAACTGAGATAGCATCTCATCAACTGAAATTTTCATGGGCAGAGATGGTTTTCATTGATAATGTTTCTGGGTTGTTAAATTGGTTGCAATTCACACCCTCTTCTTTCATTTAGATGTATCGGGTCATTTTCAGAGGATCGCATCAAGGATTGAAGTGTATGATTCGTCAAGCTATTTGAAACAAAAAAGACAACCAGCGGATCTTCAAAGTGTTCCTGCAGAGCTTAACGTAAATGCTCTAGCTTATCCTATGTTCGTGGATTACATGAAAGCTAGGTTTTCATCCCAACATCATGAAACAAAATTATGATGCCGAAAATAACACTCACTTGCAGTTTTGGATGTTCATTTGCAGATGCATCTATTCTTGCGAAGAGTAGATTATCCACACTTTTAAAGTGCTTAGCCAACTTCTCTACATGCTTGGCAGTGGTCTCACAGGTGATGCACCATGGTGTGTATACCTGTTCCATAGCAAGGATGATATTTTTTATACGCATAATCAAAATAATCACTCCATATAAAAATTCTAAAACCATGACAACTTGCTATACAATAGTAGTTGTACCTTGAATATCGAACGCAACACAACAACTTATAGGCCAGTTTTAGTACCAATAATGTAATTATTTTATATATTTACATGTAGATACATGTCATTTCTTCTTCATTTGTTGATTTCATATGTTTTGGAATATTGATGAACTGAATAAACGACTTTTAACTTAAATTTTCAGTACGTTTTTTTATGCAGTTGCTATTACTATTGATTTACTAGTGTGATTTTCATATGAAGTGCAATGTGGGTTCGCAATTGAGGTTTCTAGATTCTTGACTAGTTCAATATTTAGTTTGTGTTACCTTTTCTAGATTCTTTAATTTTGAATGTTCCATTCTTTTGTTTGAGTTGTTGAAAAACAGAAGTGAAAAATTACAGCAAAGAGTGTTATGGATTCAGTTGGAACTAAATGTGCTAATTTGTGGTTAACAGACTATCACCCTTTTGTTAGTTTGTTCTTTCTTGTTAGTTAGTTCATTTTGTGTGCATGTCTATATAAATCGACGGCCTATTCCTGCATAAGATAGGCTTCAACCTCAAAGTTGGTTCATAAACAAAGAAAATCCTTCACTTAATTAAATTTTATTTTGAGAGAGAGAGAGAGAGAGAGAGAGAGAGAACTTTAGACGAAGAGAGGTGATGGAGTGTTCCGAATTTTTAATTGCTTGTTTAATATTTACGTCACAGATTGTTGTGAATGCCGCTGACTTGGAGAAATTGCATCACAATGCATCAAATCCAAACCCAGAAGAATTGGGAGTCAAGAGGGTTGACTTCCCTACTGATTTTGTGTTTGGGGTCTCTACTGCTGCTGCTCAAATAGAAGGATCAGCGAAAAATTCTGGGAAAGGACTAAGTGTTTGGGACAACTTTGTTGTGAAATTCCCAGAGAGAATTTCTGACCACTCAAACATGTTCACTGCCATCGACTCGTATAATCGATACAAGGAAGATGTGAAGCTTATAAACAACCTTGGTGTCGATTCTTACAGATTTTCCATCCCCTGGACGAGGATTCTTCCTACTGGAACATTGAGTGGTGGAATAAACCGAGAAGCTATTGACCATTACAACAACCTAATTGACGAGCTAATCAAGAACGGCATCAAACCCTATGTGACCATTTTACATTTTGACTCGCCCCAAACCTTGCAAGACAAGTATGGCGGCCCTTTGAATCGTTCCTTTGTGAACGATTTTAAGGATTATAGCGAAATATGTTTCAAAACATTTGGAGATAGGGTCAAAAACTGGATTACAATCAACGAGCCATTTATCATTGCCAAGATAGGGTATGAACTTGGATTTGCTGCACCAGGCAGATGTTCTTTGCATACAAAATTCGTATGTACATCTGGTAATTCGTCTACTGAGCCTTACATTGTGAGCCACAACCTTCTCCTCGCCCATGCTACTGTTGTTAAGCTATACAAAGAGAAGTTCCAAGCAAACCAAGGAGGACAAATTGGAATCAGTCTTGTAGGACAATATGTTGAACCCTATTCAGATTCGGAAGAAGACAGAGCTGCAGCGAAGAGAGTTCTGGACTTCAATCTGGGATGGTACGTGGAGCCATTAGTCTATGGAGATTATCCAAAGAGTATGCGAGATTTGGTCAGGGACAGACTACCTAGTTTTACCAAGGATGAGAAGAATTTGATCAAAGGGTCCTTTGACTTTATTGGCATCAATTATTACACCTCAATATATGCTAAAAACTCCCCACCAAGTCCACAGAAACCAATTTGCTATTCTACTGATTCTTTAGCTGAATTACCCAAAAAAAATAAACATGGAGAGCCTATTGGTCCTAAGGCTGAAGGAAGTAGTTTCATTTCCATTTATCCAAAAGGTCTGCAGAAACTGATGGACTTCATGAAGGAAAACTATCAAAGTCCTAAAATCTACATTACTGAAAATGGAATCAACGAGGCAAAGGACAATAGTCGCAGACTTGATAAGGCACTCAAGGATCCACATAGAGTTAAAAATACTCTTCGGCATTTGTACTGGCTCAACAAGGCAATCAAGAATGGTGCGAATGTAAAAGGATATTTCTATTGGGCGCTGTTTGATGACTTTGAATGGGTTGATGGCTATACCACAAGATTTGGGCTTTATTACATTGATTACAAAGACAATCTCAAGCGCATTCCCAAGGATTCTGCTAAGTGGCTCCCTAAATTCCTCAAGGGTGAAGTTTAAAAACACAACGCTCAAGCTAAGGCATAAGCTGTACATGGTATATCAACCCCAAGTTCTTGACGGCAGGTTTTCTACAAACGTGACGTATAAAAGAAAGAGTAGTACGCACACTTATATATGTAAGAAAAGACCTAGGAAGACTTGGAAAGAGACAGTAAGAAAAGACTTGGACTACTTGGATCTAATGGAAGACACGGCACAAAACCGAGCACAATGGCATTCTAGGATTCATATAGCCGACCCCACTTATTGGGATAAGGTTTTCTTGTTGTTGTTGATGTACTATTTTGAAAGGCCTTGGTTTTTGGAGCATATCTTAGAACTCTTAGTACCTACTTGATGACTTTTACAGCTCTTTTGAGTAGTAGTTTCTTATCAGTTTCCTGCGATGCCAAATTTTTTCTCTAACACACACACACACACATGCGATATATATATATATTATGAACAATGTACATACTCATATAGAAGGCATATCAAAGAATACAAGCATGATACAGCTCATTCACTTTTTTGTTCTGTTGATAAGCAAGACAACAGAAACTTTATTTTGTTTTCAAACTTCAGGAACTTCAACTTGGATGTGATCATGTGAGCAGAATTAAAATAGATGTAGGAGAGAAAGACACACATACCTCTAGTACCACATTCTTGTGACTATTTAAAACCAAGTCATCAAATGTCTTTCCTACAATGCTCTGGACGGTTACATTCTTCTGCAATTTTAACGTGAGCTGATTTAGAACTACATTTAATGTGATAGAACTATAACATTACAGGAAGTGCTTTCATATTTACTACTTCAAAGCTATGTTGAAATTAGCACACCGCAGCACAGTTTTGGTTGTTCACCAGCTAACAAAAAAATTTGGCTTAAGGATTTTGTAACACGGGGAATCAAAACAAGCAACTATTGTCTTAAGTTATAGAAGAAAAAAACTAAGATATGATTCCAAGATTAATTGATCCAAAAATCTTTTAAAGGGAAAATGACTCACGTTATCAGGTATTGGTTGCGATTTGAAGTGCGGAGATACAGTACCACGTAATAGGCCTGAGCAGAACTCCTACAAAATCCAATTCAGAAATTTTAGTAGTCTAGGTAGATACTCTTGATGAGGAAATTTCAAAACATGAGAAATTATTACTTCAAGATTGCTTGGTGATGGATTTGATTCTAATAGATATTTAGAGTTCCCTCTAATATCAAAAGCAGTGACCTGTGCCGAACACAGATAAAACCTGATTAGTTATAGCCTTAGCAAAAGATTCCTTGATAGAAAGAATTCAGAGTCAATGTGTAGTTCACAAGTGGGAAACTGACCACAGCACTGTTTGATTCTTCAAGCCCATATACCGTTAAGTAAGGCTTAGCAAGATTTTCATCTGTAATGTCTATATATATGAACAGTATCTGGATCAAGAGAATGAAAAAGGGAAAACATTAGTAGATTTAACCAATTCACCTAATAGCTTCGACATATAGTCCATTTGAGTACCTTTGACTTGAACTGTCTAGCAACATCTTGAAGGGGCTCAAGAAGTTTCTTGAAGTCATCTGCGTCTGCAAAAACATGAACCTGCGCAAGAATAAAAGTGAGTCATTAAATGGCAGAACTTATTATCATGCCAATTCCAATTCTTTATATATGACTCAAGCTTAAGAAATTCTTAAGGGGTAATGTAATTCCGGAAATATTATCTGATATCTGAGTTGCATTAAACGGCAGCGGAATCAGAAACCTGAAGTTGAATAGGACTGGAGTACACTTTTGCAGAATTTGCTTCAGTAAGTCTGTTAACTAATGGAAACTTGTTATAGTCCAGAAACTGCAGTATTTCATCCACTCTAAAGGTCCCTTCTGCAAACCCAAACATTTATGAATAACTACGTTAGTAATTCTTACTGAGTGGAAATTTTTTTGTGGAATGTAACCAATGACAATCACAGTCAAATATGCAAGTTGGCACTCAAACATAAGTCTCCTTATTGGTTTGCAGATCTAAACTTTGATTTAACTGAGAGAAATCATTGAAATTTATACACTCGCTAAGTTGCACAAGCAAGCAAGAAAACAAAAAATTTCATCACCTTCAGTAAAAAAATTAAGCAACTCACCATATGCAGTGTATCTTTCTGGCTCACTTTTCACAATTCCAAGGAAAACATTAGTTGGTTTTACATTTGGAAAGAGAACATTAGCAACCTCGATGTTGCTTACTTCTACGAACTGGATGGCACTGTCAGCTGCCGCTGCTTTTACAAATTCTTTGTGCTCGGGCCCCTGAATGGTTTTATAACAAACAGAATAAGCCCAAAAAACCCATAATGTACAAACAAATATATAATCAAAGCACTGTCTAATTCTAACTCCAGGTTTTCAGTATTTCCCAGGTCTAGCATTTTAAGAAAAATTTGAAAACAACAAATACGCATGTACCTCAAAATTTTCAAACAGGCCAAGAACAAATATGTCGGACTTCTTGAGAAATTCTGCTGCCTCTGTCACCGAGCTTATCCGAATAACAGGTTCACCGGTTTTCTTCCTCGCCCATATCACTATTTCTTCCCTGAATCAAAATTTGCCCCCATAAACACATTAATGGAAATGCACAACTCAAAATTTCCCCCAGAATCACTGGTATTACACCTTCTATAAAAATTTACTTAAATTAAGTGAAATAACACAACTTGACTATACGAATTATGGCAATGACAAAGGACGGAACAATAACAAGCATATAAGCATACAGATAACATAAATGACAAAACACAATCTGAATTATAACTTATAAGTAACTGGCCAAATATATGATTCACTTAGCTAATCCAAATGAAATTAACATAAAATATTCCCAATTAGACAGGTTGACAAAGTTTAAGAGCCACTCACGCAGAAAATCCACCAGTGTAGGCTTGGGAGGTGCCATTGACAAACAGAAGCAGAGTAGGGAACCCTTTGATCTCGAGAGACGACGCAGTTTTCGCGTGCCGCTCGGCATCAAGCTTGGCCATCAAAAGAGGGCTCCCCAATTCCTTCAGCGCAGTGGCAGCCTCAGCAAACTGAGGCATCAGCTCGGCACTCCTGGCACACCAGGGAGCGTACCCGAGAACCAGAACATACTCATTGTTTTCAATCACCCTCTTTGTATTGTCATGATTAAGCTCCAGAACAATCCTCTGTGCTTTGGATAAAAGCTCGGCCTCCGAAGACCTTGTGGCGGGCCCCCCGTCTTGGTCTTCTTCTTGTTCTACTTGTTCATCCAATGCCAGGAGCTCTTCCAGTTCGCCGTCTTCGGTTTCGTCGGCGGCGGGGTTTTGGGGTTCGGAGGATTTGATGGGGGTTGGGAAATGGAGTAGGAGGAGGAGGGTGAGGGTGAAGAGGATGAATCTGGAGGTGGGTTTTGGTCTGGACATGGTTTTGGAGGATTTTGCAGAGGGAAGTGGGTTTCTTGTGGATCTTTGGTGAGTGAGATCTATGGAATGAAAAGACAGGGTATTCCGTGAGAACTGGGAAGTTTTTACTGAGGACTGAATGTAGGGAGTGAGAATTTGGGCTTGATTGATACTATTTGCCTTCACTGCCCTGATTGGCGGCAATAACTCATAAAAATGATAGAAACGTGGGCATTTTATTACCGAGTAATAGTTGGACTTTATGTAAACTATGGAGTTATGTAACGTCTTATGTCTAAAATTGTTATTTATTAATGTTGTTCTTCATTTTTAGAATCATGTATGAATATGATCATTGTTTGTTCCGCTCGTGCATACATTGAATTATAGCAACCCATCCTCCCGGGGGCGAGGAAGACTTACAATGGTATTTTAACCTCTCTAGCCATCACTGTGCGATTAACTAGCGCCAGAAATTTGATCCAAAACGTTCTGCTTGAAATATGGAGTTGTATAACGTTTTATGTTTGGAATTTTAGTCACTTTGCATTTTTAGGTTCATCCGTGAATATATTCATTGTCGTGGTAACCACTAAGAACCAAGAGGTATAAAATTGAAATTAGTTGTGTAAGGGGTGGAAAAAAATTCCCGAAAATCCTAAAAACGAACCGAAAAAAATCTCAATACCAAACCAAAAATGTCCCAAACCAAAATTTCCAAAATTTTCGGGATGCTATCCTGAACCGATTCTGAAATTTCGATACGGGATACAGGATTGTCTTTTCAATATTTCGGGAATCACATACCGTACCAAAAATATATATTATTAATTTATTATTATTATTATATATATATATATATATATATAGGAAAAGGAACCGCTCTCTCTCTCTCTCTCTCGATTCTCATGCGATTCTCACTATCAGACACTCAAAGTCTAAGAGTCTTCTTCATCCAGTGCACTGTGCACCGATCCTCCCCCAAATAAGGTAAATTTTGGAATTAATTTAGGGTTTGAAATGTAATTTAGGGTTCGAATTCTAGATTAAGGTTTGTGAAATTTATGTTTTGGATTGGATGTTCATGATTCCAGCCCTAATTTAATTTCTATATTTATGTTTACGGGTTTATGAAATTTTTTTTTTTTTTTTCATTTTAGGAGTTTGGCTATGATTTATGTCTTTTGAAAATTTCAATTGGTGACTATACTTTCTGGTTGTTCTGGAATTTTCTGATGTTAAACTGAAGTAAATGCAGAGATGTGAATAATTTTCTTGCCCGTAGGTTCCTGCTAGGTATATTTGTTGTGCAGGCAAACCTGCATTTGGTAATGCTCTGCTCCTCTCAAATGTGTTGTGTTTCTCCATTTTTGTTTACTTCCATTCCACGAAGAAGTCACAATTAACTTGCATATTATCAGTATGATTTTAAAGTTTGTGTTGTCCTCTTGTTAGGAGCACCATGGTTGAAGTATGTGCTTTAATTTACACAGATTTGTAGGTTACTCTTCTATGTCAAAACTCAGAAACTTCAACACACAATGGAATGCAGCAGCAACAATAGGAATTATAAAGGTGTAGATTTTAAGTCCTGTTTTCTCCATAATTTTTTGCTTCTTTATATATACTTTTCAACTTTCTAATTTGTCTTTAATGCTTTAATACTTTATACATACCAATCAACAACAATAAACATGGTAAGAGAGCAACCACAACCATCAACAAGATCAAGGGCCGAAGGGGCCAACAATCTTCATGAACTTTAAGCTTTTCTTTTTGCTTTTGGATTTGTTACTTAACTTAATTTATTTTTGTTGCATGCATGTGGAATGTTGAATTTAAATAGTTTGATGGTAGAATATATTTGAAGAACAATTCATAATTTCATATTTCAATTAGGGCTATAAATCTATGATTGCACAGATTGGTATGTATGAAGTAAAATGCTCAAAATAGATTGCACAAACGCATATATGACATATTTGTATGTATGACATATTGGTATTTATGAAATTGGGCTGATAATTTCAATCTAAAAGGCTAAATTTCAGCCCAAAGGCCCAATATGTTAAGTTTCAACCCAATTGCCCAAAATCAAAATTTAATCTCGATTTTTCCTGAAATACCGAAAATATTTAGTGATTCCCGAAATTTTGGTTTGGGATTGGTCTTCAAATTCCCGTCCCGAAAAATTTTGGTTTGAAATTCAGGATATTAGTTTCAATTTGGTATCGCTTACTGAACCAGCTCTAAGTCTGACCATGTCAAAGTCGGTTTGGAACCGTTGAGGTTCATTGCCAAAATATGAATGGTAGAGCGGACCATAGTGGTTGTGGTTAGGGTACATGTACTTATGCCTAACACGTTTGGAGATAATGATTTAGTATTAATAAAATACAGATTAAGATATCATTTAGTATTATTTTTCATTTATAAGTGAGAGGTATTAGATTTGATTCTCGATCAATTCAAACCAAATTATTATGTCTAATCTAAAGTAGATAATATCGTTGTATTCATGTATTCAATAAACATACATCGTAAAATAAACTTAAATGTATAATACAATACTACATGTAAGATTGACTCTTACATTGATGTGAGAAATAGAGATGTGAGGACTGATGATATTTCTTTAATTTGTTATAATTAAGTTTAACATATCACGATTGTTTAAATGAGAGAGAGGGTATTTTATTAAATGGTTCATAAGGGTTTGAAATCAGGTTTAAGGTCTTTTGGGGTTGGGATTGGATTTAGAGTTTGGAGTTTGGAGTTTGGTTTCCTAGTTTGTTTGTAGGAAGTTGGTTTTATAGGTCTACTTCATGCTTTTGTCTTAATTTAAATTACATATTAATAAAATTTTCTTTGTCAACTAAAAGAATGTGAAAAGACATATTTGTTTTCTATCATAACAAAAAAGTTGAGGACAGTAACTTAATTTTACAAAATAAAATTTTGTTGCTTTTTCTTTAATCTAAAAAAATAAACCTCTCTTCCTTGCTCTCCACTCCCATGTTCTCTCTCATTCTCTTCCTCTGTCCTTCAATTTTAAAAACAAAAATAAAAAATTTCACACAGTTGTGTGTGGCATATACTAATATGTTTTAGTAAAATCTTTTAAGGGTTATTCTTTTGGCTCTTTGTTTCGCTTTCTCGTATTTGTCTAAGTTTTTTTTAAGTGTTATTTTATGTTTAGTTATTTCGCTTGTTAATTTCTTTTCTTTTTGTTTTTTGTTATAGTTTTAATATATGACTGAGTTTTGGAGGTACTTTGTCACATCTCGGCCCGGGGCGGAACCACTTCCCGGGCCTGCTCTACCACCGTAGCACGATATTGTCCGCTTTGGGCTTACCATTCCCTCACGGTTTTGTTTTTGGGAACTCACGAGCAACTTCCCAGAGGGTCACCCATCCTGAGAGTGCTCTCGCGCGCTACTCGCTTAACTTCGGAGCTCCCATGGAACCCGAAGCCAGTGAGCTCCCAAAAGGCCTCGTGCTAGGTAGAGATAGGAATATACATTTAAGGATCACCCCTGGGCGATGTGGGATGTCACAATCCACCTCCCTTAGGGGCCCGACGTCCTCGTCGACACACACGCGGCCAGGGTTAGGCTCTAATACCAATGTCACATCCCGGCTCGGGGCGGAACCACTTCCCGGGCCCGCTCTACCACCGTAGCACGATATTGTCCGCTTTGGGCTTACTATTCCCTCACGGTTTTGTTTTTGGGAACTCACGAGCAACTTCCCAGAGGGTCACCCATCCTGGGAGTGCTCTCGCGCGCTACTCGCTTAACTTCGGAGTTCCCATGGAACCCGAAGCCAGTGAGCTCCCAAAAGGCCTCGTGCTAGGTAGGGATGAGAATATACATTTAAGGATCACCCCTGGACGATGTGGGGTTTAATCAGGCAATGTGTCCTTCAAGACGTAATTGTAGTTTTCGATATTTACACTTGAGTTTTAGGTAGTTTTTCCTATCCTTTGCTTTTATCTAATATTTAATAAAACATCTTTTTCGATAAAAAAATATAAATAAATTAAAAATCTTAAAGGATCAAAATTCTTATTAGTATTAGACCAACTCTAATGGTGGGCTAAAAGCTAAATTACCTCCCAAAATTTCCCCCCAAACGCACTCCAACCCAAGGGGACATTTTGAGTTAAATGCTAAATGCTAAACCAATGCCAAATTCCTCCCGAAATTTAGCTCAGAAATTGGGGTGGACTCTACCTAATATTTATCGGAATTTAAATTTTTTTTAGATTAAAATGTTCATAAAATTAATTTACGATAGTCTACATATTTTTTTTTTTAAATTTAATTTAACAAAAAAAATAACTTAAATTTATTCTTTAATAATCCTGGGCTAAAATTTTAGAGTAGAATGGTTGAAGTAGAAAAGCTATTTTTGGGTTAAAAGCTAAATTTTTCGGGCTAAAAAATTTAACTTTTAGCCTAACCATTGGAGATGGTCTTAAGGGGTTAAATGCACCGATGAAAGATTATTTCATCTTTTATATAGAATATAAACAATTGACAGTGATTTTTGTTTTTTGGTTAAATCAGATGGAAAATCTCATATATCAACCAAGCATACAAAGAAGAAAATTGATTACTCTAAACTCTATGGAAACAAGCGCTGCAAAGAGGAGGAGGCTTGCAGTTGCAGTCCGATCAAAAGAGAGGATTTCCAGCAGGAAGCGAAGGCTTGCAAAGCAAGAAAAGAAACGCGCTGATGACTAGCGAAGTAGTATCGACTGAATCGCTAGTCTTCCGGATGATATATTGTACTACATATTCTCTTTTTTACTGATCGGATCCATTGCTCAAACGAGTGTTTTATCTCGAAGATTGAGTTGTATATGGGATTCCTTTCCTATCCTCGATTTCTTTCACGTAATTCGTTCATCAAAACGCGGAAAAGTAGAAATTTTAAGCGGAGTTCTGAATCGCCGCCATGAAAACTCTGTATATAACGGTATTTAGGTTTAAAGGCTATTTGAGTTCTTCATGTTTGCATGATTGTATTGATCAGGTGATGAAGCGCAATAGGGTTGAAGAACTTGCACTTCATGTCTCTTTGCGTGATGATTTTGTTCTGCCTAGCTGTTTGTTTAATTGTGATTCATTGAGGAGTCTCGCTTAGGCCTTGCAAATACATTCCAACTACAAATGACGAGGGTTTAAGCTTTCACCTTTTTCCTTTGGTCTCCCCTCACTTCTCACATTGTCTCTGATTTGGGTACATTTCTTGCCTGTGAAGAATAAGATTAATGCAATTAATTTTCTTTGCGGATCATTGCATGTTCAAACCCTTTGCAATAAGCTTTGGCTATCTCCTGTTTTTATCATCCATTTGTTTTGATGGCAGTCTACCGTACTCGTTTATGGAACTTGAGACCTTGCAAATTCATATCGGCTGTTTGAATAAACCTGTTCTCCCAGGTATAGCATGCCAATTCAAGAGCGCTCCTATAATCCGTACTTTTAGTATTTACGTAGCTAGCAGCACCCTCGGAGGAAGAGAAGGTACATGGCACAACATTCTGTTGAACAATGTGGGTTGCACTGATGAGCAATACTGGGAAAGTCAAGTGCAGAATTTGAGAGACTTCCTATGTCACTTAAAGGTGAACATTCATTATTTGATTGATGAGAGTGTGACTATGTTTGCAAGGTTTTTGGTTAAACATGGAAGAGGCTTGCGAGAAATGATTCTTTGCTTCGATGAACATAATGTTGGCAATAATTGGGAGGATAATGTCTGTTTACTAGAGGGATTCTCCCGGTCATCTACTGATGTCAAAATCTCAGTTGCTTCATCTCATACTAGGATTAAGCGTGTAGAGATAGTACAAGGATCTACAATTAAAAAAATCAGTATGTAGTCCCCTTGTAACTTGTTCGCTTTGTGATACAACAAAAGGTCAGCGGGTCTATGATATCCGCATAGAAAAGGATAGCAAAAGCTTTGAAACTCCCAAATGGTATAAGCTCATAACATTGTGCTGCACGTCAAAAACTCCCTTGTCTTTATAAACATACATACGATATGCATCACATAATTTCAAACCAAGCTATTTACATTTATTTCACATAAGATCATAACTAAAATAGTGACATGAATTTAACAAAAACAAAATAAAAAACGAATTACAGGAATTTTTAAAGTAAAAGATTTACTCAGGCCAAAAAATAAACTTGGTATTTTAATTTCTTGAGAAAGGATTTCATATGCAGAATGAACAACTCAACTCGGATTGCAGTCCCTGGCCAAAAAGTACACTCAAATTGCAGTAAATTCTGCACTGGATTTTCACAAGCATTCACAGAAGGATATCATTAGTCATAAGTGCATGAGCTCTTTTTGAACTTGATGGGTTTGGTGACAGTGGGATCCAAAATCAAATGGCATGAGATTCGCTTTCGATGCTTTGTTTTCACTAGCTTCCCTACAACATACGCTCGAGACCAGATTTCAAAGTTTAAGGTCAATGGAATCGGAACCAATGCACCAGTTTTTGTGTACATCAAACTTGATCCAGCTCCATATAAAGGGACCTTAGTACCATGCAAGTTCACTGATATCGTTCGGAGGCTCTTTCTAGGCTGATAATATTTCTTCAACTGCAAAGACAAAGTTCAGAAAATTTAACACTTATCAAGCGATTCCAAACGGTATCCTACATACGTATTATGTTGCCAGACTACGAATCAAGACCAAACTTTCCTAGTTTGGTAATGTAATATCCTAGTCCAGTTAGGATTTTGGTTCCTGTGTTTTGACCTGAAATTAATTTCGGTCCCTGGAAGTTGCCAATGGCACTTGAATTGTAAACGGAAAAAAACTTGGACAGAGCTATGAAAGATTAAAACTCGAGGCACCAAAGCGTGAGAACAAAGAAACCAAAATAG